CCAGAACTTGTTTCAGGATGATATTTTGAACAGTGCATATCGGCCTGGACGATCTAAATATCGTCCCGGACGATCCTGAGAGGAAAATCCAAGTCAGAGAGGAACAGTAAGGGAACGAGGTCTCACAGGAGGTGTGTAGTTCAAATCAAGACGATGCCAACACGTTTGAGCCGTGTTACCCTTCTTGGAGCAAATTTGACAAGAAATGGCTGCATTAGGATTATTTCTGGGTGCATTGGTAGCACCATAGTTGTTCTTGCCTCTAGGACGTCGACCTCGGCCGCGATTTGTGAACAAGGCCACGCTTGGATCGGAGGGTGCAGAGAACTTTGCTGCATCAGAGGGGAGGTTAATTTCCTCGCTCATAAGAAGAGGATAAATCTGATCCAGCGTAAGAGGAAGAAGTGACGTCCGAATGGCAGATTTGAACGACTGATATGGTTGAGGAAGTCCATTCAAAATGTAATGGATAACGTCTTCGGCATCAAGAGAAGAACCCGCTGAAGCAATCTGATCGACCAGCTCTTTGATCTCCGACAAGTACTCGGCCATAGACTGATTTTTGAGAGATACATTGTGTAACGCATTTTTGAGTTGAATCACTTTTGACCGGTTAGTGGCTTGAAATCGAGTTTCAAGTGCCGTCCAGAGCTTCGCCGTCGAGTCCAGCGAGATGACGTAAGGAAGAATAGAAGACGAAATCGTTGAGCAGATGGAGGCCGATAGATTTTGATCAGTAAGCGACCACTGCAAGAATGCGGGATTTGTGGAAGACGAGCCATCGGGATTTGTCAAGAACTGCTCCGGAGGAGAAATTTTGGGATCAAGAAACGTAGGAAACCATTAGCCCGGAGAGTTTTCAAGATCTGAGATTTCCAGATCGGAAAATTGTCGAGGGCAAGCGGCGTGGGAACGAGATTACGGAGATTCGAGACGACAAACTTGAGTGTCGTCGAGATCGTTGGATCGTCAATGGATGATCCGGAGTTGTGATCTTGCGACCGAGTGGACGTAGCAGACTCGGCCATAGCTAGGATCGACAACCGTATCCTGATACCATGTAGAAGCAGAACTCAAGCGAACAGAGAAGATGTAAAAGGAAGAAAATATTATTATCTTGTCATACCACATACAAATACAATTTCCTATATACAGACAAAGCTAATACCAGAGAAGCTACTCGAGACAGAGCCTACTTAAGACATATTACAAATATACCAAATGTTATATGGTATTTATATATCTATTCTAATACGAAAGGAAGAAAAAAAAATCGGTAACCTTCGCTACATATCTCTGATACCATGTTAACCTGCATTGCGATTAAGCTGGCAGAGAAATAACAGAGAAACAAG